CCGGAATAGGTGAATATGCATTGACCACTGTTACCCATCAACCTGAATTCATGTTCTGGACCCTGTCGGAAGTATGTGCTTCGCATAGCTTTACCCGCCTGAATCTCGCTTCAGCCCCAATAAGGGCAATTGCTCTTGGACGGTAACGCTCCGTGTTGTCTTGAGTCTAGCAGTAAGGCTCTACTATAAATATCCGCGCTTGCCATTTGGTTTTCTGTACTCGAATGCTCCAGCTGCGAGTCTGCAAACTGAACCAAGTCTCCCATATCAATTGAACAACTTCACACCAGTGACTTCTCTACTATTTCACTATGTCTATCCAAGCAGACTCTCAACTGGAAGTTATCGTTAAGCAAAACTCAACTGACAAGCACGAGCATGTGCTGGAGCAGATGGATGAGAAGGATGTGCACACGGAGCATGTCCAAGACATTCAGCAGAATTATTCTTATGATGATGAAGACGAGGAGCCAGAGCTCCATGCTACAACCTGGATTGCCCTTGGTAGCATGTGCCTCCTGATTCTGGCCGTCCTCTTTGCTCTGCAAGGCCCTCCTACCGTGGTGAGTGATCTTGACAACTGCCAGTAGCCTCGACAGACGTTTTCTAACTTCATATAGCTCACCTGGATTGGGGAGGATCTGCACAATTCGAAGGCCACCGCTTGGATCCCAACTCCATTGTCGCTTCTACAAGCGGTGATATCTCCTTTTATTTCTTCCGTGGCGGACAAGTTCCAAGTCCGCAAGCCTTTGCTCATGAGCTGTGTCATTCTGCCATTTATCGGATCAGCTATTGCGCCCGGATCCAGCAACATCTACCGCGTCATCGTTGCACAGATTTTCATTGGATTTGGCTTGGCTTTGGTTCCGCTCTCATACTGTATTTCGAGTGAGATCGTGCCGAGAAGATGGAGACCGAGTATTCCCCCCTCTCTGGCACGGTCCGGCTACTGTCTGTCGACTAACATGGACATCAGTATCACAAGCGATCATCAACTTCGCAGCGGCTATCGGCGCCTGTCTTGCCCCGATTACTATCGGAGGACTGACGAAGAAGAATCCACATACAGGATGGCGCAACTTCTATGTACGATCATCTCAATCCATCTTGTGCGTTCTACAGCTGACTATATGAACCCTAGTGGGTCCAGTGTGCGCTTTGGGGTGCCACGGCCGTAGGTATCTTCATCGGCTATAAGCCACCGAAGCGACATACTCGTTACGATCACCTGTCCTTCTTCCAGAAGCTGATGGCCGTGGATGTGGTTGGACTTTCCCTCTACATCGCCGGGTTGACGTTGTTCATGACAGGCGCGAATCTAGGCGGTGGGCTTGCAAGCTGGACGGACGTTCGCACCTTGGCCCCCCTCGTCACCGGCTGTGTCCTCCTCGTCTCATTCATCCTCTACGAGTGGCTGGGCACAAAGGAAGGGATCCTCAACCATGAGCTATTCCGAGGAGGCAAGGCCCGTGGCCGAACGTTCGCGATCTGCGTCTTTTTCCTGTTTGTCGAAGGTGCATTATTTTTCCCATTTTTGATTTTCTATCCTCTCCAGTAAGCACCACCATGCTCTCCCAAGGTCACTCATATCCGATCGGTTCAGCTGACTAGTATCTCCAGGACTTCTGCCCTATTTGAGAGTGACCCGCTCCTTCTGGCTGCACGTGAGCAGTCATTCTGGGCTGGAACTGGAGTTAGTACCCTTCTATGGGGATACGCAAGCACCAAACTGAAACGCCTGCGCGAACCTATCTTTATTGGCTTCGTCATCTTCCTTGCTGGTATGGTGGGTATCACTACTATCGAGCCCGACGACTCAGTCAGCTCTGTAGTCTTCTCGACTTTGGCCGGCATTGGCTGGGGTTCGCCGCTGATCCTGGTTATCGCAGCGGTGCAACTGGCCACACCACATCATATTTTCATCACGGCAACGGCCGTCACCGCCGCATCTCGAGCCCTTGCTGGTACTATCTTCACAGCTATTCTCACAGCGGTGTTGAACAACAACCTCGCAAGTAAACTTGGGCCCTATATCTCAAAGGCGGCCTTGAAGCAGGGCTTACCGAAAAGCTCAATCAATGCTTTCATTGCGGCCGTCGAAGCCAGAAATGCCACCACACTGGCCGCTGTGCCTGGAGCAACACAAGCTATCATCAGCGCAGGCCTTTCCGCCCAAAAGAAGGCCTATGCGGAGTCACTCAGGACGGTATTCATCATCACGCTACCATTCGGCCTGCTGGCTTGCATCGCATGCCTGTTTATGAGCGACTTGCGAAAGGAAATGAACTATATTGTGGATGCGCCATTGGAGCACTTGACTGCGAAACATCATCACAACGTCAATGAGAGCCAAACCAAGGAACCATGATAGTGCACATGACAGAATGTCGGATCCGGAATGGTAGAGATAGTTCGTCACTGCTCGACTATATCGCAGCTCGGTCTGCGGCCCAGATTCATGTAAGAAGGGACGAAAAAACACGTTGGGGCAGTCAGAACTGCTTACCACGAGGCAGGACGCAGAGAACCGAGACGTAGCATGCTTCATAGCTGTATCTATGGCGAGGAGATGATATAGGATGACACTGGGGAATTACTGTCACACCAAAATTCTGAGCGTGAATGCAATATATGGACGCAAACATTTCCAGTGGTCATCGGCCATCCACCGAGTCTGCCCGGCGATGCTACATTGCGGAGGTTGACCTCGGATTTAGGAGATATGTCAGCAGTATAAGAACACAGAAATGCCTGCTTCAACATACACTACGCTCAAAATCATTGCAAACGAAGAAGCGTTAGCAAGAGCGACGCCCAAGTAGTCATTGTTGCGAAAAATGCCGGACCTCGATATCACTTCGACATACAAACTCAAGACAGGCTATGACATTCCTGTCTTGGGATTCGGGGTAAATGGATCAATATGCCAATCATTCTGGCAGGATCTCAGCTAACGATTTCCATGTCGCAGACTGCTGGCGACGTATCCGATAATTATCAGATGAACGCCGCAGAAGGCCAGATCGCCGTGCTCGAGGCCCTTAAAGTTGGCTACAGACACATCGATTCCGCCCAGATGTACGGAAGCGAAAAGTGTTGCGGTGACGCCATTCAACAAAGTTCGGGCGCCCGCGACCATATCTTCTTCACCTCCAAAGTCCAGTCGGGCGGCGGGTACGATGTGACCAAAGCCGCGATAGAAAGCGGACTCAAGGAATCAAATCTGGGGTATTTCGACCTATATCTGATCCATGCGCCGTACGGTGGCCCCGAAACCAGAAAGGGCGCATGGAGGGCCATGGTTGAAGCCAAACGCGACGGAAAGATTCGGTCTTTGGGCGTCTCGAACTATGGGATCCATCACTTGCAGGAACTTGAAGATTATATCAGCGAACTCGAACAGCAGCTTGGGAAGGGCAACGGCGGAGAGATCAGCGTCGGGCAGTGGGAACTGCACCCATGGCTGGATCGAAAGGAGATCGTGAAGTGGTGTCGCGCCCGCAACATCATAGTCGAAGCCTACTGTCCTCTGATCCGGGGACGAAGATTTGAAGAGCCTGCTCTCAAGCCCCTGGTGGAGAAGTATGGTAAGACTGCCGCTCAGGTGCTACTTCGCTGGAGCCTACAAAAGGTCTGTTGTTCTATATGCTACCACCACCGCCAGCGTGGAAATGGTGTCTACCTTACTCATAGACTAACTAAACTACTAGGGTTATGTTCCCTTGCCGAAAAGTGTGACACCAGCCAGGATCGCATCCAATGCTGATATCTTTGACTTTTCCCTGACGGAAGACGAAATGGCCAGCCTTGAGACCGGCGACTATGCGCCCTGCACCTGGGATCCTACAGTGAGTTCGCTCAGCGACTGAGTCGGGAAATACCACTCCCGGCAAGTGATCAGTCGTCAAAGAATATAGGTTATCCAAGAGCTCGAGCTCCATTGTGTGGTTCCGTTGCGCACCGAAGAGAGAAACAGATCACTCAACTGCTCGAAAATTGGCGGCTCATGCAAGCAAGTCTCGAAGCATTGAATCAGGCTGCAATTGCTAGCTCCACGTCGCCAGCATTTAACGCCGCGCAAGTACACCCGATTCTCACGCAGTCTCAACAGCTTCCTCGATCACGAAATTCCCTTGATCCCCGACAGAGAGTCCATTACCTTGCGACTTTCACTCTGAGGCCTTGGTGCACAGTGCTGTAGAATAGATACCACCCTGCCTTGGCGAAATAGTTGAAATTGGAAAGACCTACCCATACCCGAAATTGCCGCGATGGGAATGTCGGACTGTTCCCGACCATAACGATTCGTGGCTCGAACCCGTAACAGCTTAAATCCGAGCCATCTCGAATGCTCGGCGTTAATGTCGAATATGGTACGAGAATCTCTCCTCCTGCTCCGAGCAATCTCAAAGCAATAGCCGCTTCCGGACAGTGGATCTTACCGAAAAATTGAACAAGACCGTGCTGATGGGGGTTAACACGACACACCTAGTAGAGCGCAGGAAGTGTGTAGCTTCGACCGCCTCATTCTATGGCCAAAGTCTGCCATCCAGCAAATCTGCCTACGTACTTTGGTCCAATTCTGAACAGGGCATCGGACACCAGTCATACGAAAGGTTGTGCTAAAGAGCACTAGACTAGGGAGGGCCTGTGAGTTGTGATAATAGGACATGGGGTATAGAGGAGCTGACACCCACAAACCGCCAATGACCATTTCTTGGCCTCGGTTTCTTTCCGCTGGCGGGCCAACATCAGCGTGCTCGTTCTGATAGCCAGAAGTGCTCGCAGACATTGAAACCATCCTTCTGTCTTTTCGTCAGACAATGATGAACACTGTGGAGTCAACCTAAGCGGTATGTGCCCACCACCGTGTTGCTTGACCCTGGCATCCCATACCATTTGGCACGGTTTGGGAGCCGCATGGCCTTTTAATACCCTTCACGCCTTGCTCAAGGCCAGGGTATCCTGCCTGGGTCCAGACAATAATCCTGATCACGATGCCCAAAGCAGTTTCTATTTCTCAAGTCCCCGGCAAGCCAGGTCAGGTATACTACCCACTCCGGATTGACGAGGTGAGCCGGCCCGATCCAAAGCCGAATGAGCTGGTCATCAAGCTCCATGCGTAGGTTCTGTCTTTCCTTCACAAGAGAACATCGACTCAAAGTCATTTGTCATTCTGTGCCACACTGCACAGCATTCTTTGCCGCTGACTCCGTGGCTTTAGTGCCGCCATCAACCACCGTGACCTCTTTATCCGGCAGCACCTCTACCCAGCCATTGCATTCGGCACACCCTTGCTCGCCGACGGCTGCGGGAGGGTTGTTGCTATTGGCTCTGCCGCCAACCCCTCGTGGCTGAACAAGCGTGTCGTCCTGAATCCAGGTACTGGCTGGAACGACTCCCCCGATGGACCGGAAGCTCAAGGAGGGTACAGGTTGATGGGTGGAACCAGGAGCAATGGAGTCGGTACATTACAAGAGTACTGCGTGATTGATCAGGGCGAGGTGGAAGAGGCGCCGCCTCATCTTTCAGACGTGGAATGTGCTGCGATACCATTGGCGGGTCTCACTGCATGGCGGGCGGTGATGGTCAAGTGTGGTGCGCGAAATCTCGGACCTGGCAAGTATGATTCGCACCGGTGAGAGCGAGGATGAACGCTGCTAACTCAGAACAGGAATGTATTGATCACGGGCATTGGCGGAGGCGTTGCATTAATGGCATTGATGTTCGTCGCGGGGACCGGCGCCAACGCGTGGGTAACAAGCGGTAACCGGGCCAAGATAGACAAGGCCGTAGATCTGGGAGCGAAAGGTGGTGTAAGTTACAAAGACAAGGAATGGGTAAAAAAGTTGTTGGATCTGTTGCCAGAAGCAAACCAGCGCTTCGATGCGATTGTGGACGGCGCAGGCGGGAACATCATTGAGATGGCGCCAAAGTTACTCAAGGTATGTGAACATTGGGATATGAACACCAAGGGAAGACTGATCCTCATGCTCGCAGGATGGAGGTATTGTATCCGTTTATGGCATGACAACAGGCCCGAAGATGCCGTTCGTGATGCAGGCGGTGCTGAAGAACATTGAGGTCAAAGGCTCGACAGCCGGCAATCGCAAAGAGTTCAGAGATATGATGCAATTCGTCCATGAGAAACGAGCGCGACCAGTCGTAAGTCGAGTGGTGAAGGGGATGGAGAATTTGGATGGAATCGATAGTCTATTCGACGACATGAAACAAGGGAAGCAATTGGGCAAACTGGTAATCCAGATGGAAACGGCAAAGGAAAGAGGAAGTATGCTATAACATTCGGAGGTGATGGCGTGATGCCAGTCTAATATCTCCAAGCCGCATATTAGCCTTCTCGGTGTCTCCATTAAGCCATTAGGTGGTTATTAGCACCTAATCAAATAGTGATAAGGCTTGATAAAAACTTGGAAAGCGGTCTCGACTCTCGAAGAGTCCAAAGGAGATTATACATTGTGTTGTTCCAGCCAGATCTCATGTTCCAGAAAGACCATCCAGCCCAGATACTACGCAGGGAAGAGTTGAGGATGGATTGGCCTTGAATGTGCCGGTGTAGTCTTGTGGTTGCACCTTTGGCGATGATCGAAACGGAAAGCAGGTCAGCTAGGCGGTCTCTTCCTCGGTTTCTCTGGGGCAGAGCATACGGTGTCAAGCCGAGATCAACCACCTAGACGGAGTGTCACCGTGATAGCAAGGGCGACCGTATCCAAGCCCCGTCACTATTGTTCTTCTGGTATCCGTAAAGCTGCCGGATAAGCCGTGTAAAGAGCAATAAGTGAGCACAGATTGTGGATCTGTGGCTGTCTCTCGCCATTGAAGATCGTGGAAGTGAGACCAAAGCCGGTTTCTTGTTACAATTGCGAGAGGTCCAATGCACTGTGGCTCTGCATCGGATCTTAAGCCACAACATAACACCGAGGAGCAAGTGCAATGCAGCTGAGTTCTTCCGTTGATACGAGATTTCATTTGCCACTCTGAGTTCTAGCGCCAATAGTCCGGATCATTGAGCTGCTCAGCCCGAGCATTTATGTAGGGCCTCGAAAGAGCATTCGCACTCATCTCATTAGAGCATCACGTACTCTATCTTATGGACTACAATGTCAAAATCCGGGAAACCCCAAAAACGCCTTGCGATCACCCATGGGCCTCATCTTCCAGAACTACAGCACCTTACGTGGGGAGAGCTCCTTCGGCGACACTGTCGAAGACGTTCTAGCGATATTGCTCTGATATCTGCTCATGAAAATCAAGTCCTGACCTACAGCGAGCTCAACCGCCGTAGCGATATCTTGGCAGCGGCATTTCTTGATGCTGGGATACAGAAAGGGGACCGGGTGGCCATTCTCCTGGACAATCGCTCCGTTTATGTCGACGTAGGTGCTACTACTGTATCAGTGAACACTCTGAAACTGAGTCTTGTTACCAGATATTCTTCGCCTGCGCTAAGACTGGTGCAATTATCACCCTGCTCAACTTCGCTTATACACCGACAGAGTTGAGACATGCTCTGACTCTGACGAAAGCAAAACTTCTGATCACCGCTACCAGAACGGCTAGATATGATTATACCAAAGTTCTCAAGAACCTTGAACGCGACTTGGAGTCTCTGGAAACGCTGGTCCATTTGTCAGATGTGCCGGCCGTCGACATCTCAGCAAGCTTCTCGTCTAAATCTTGCAGCTACACTGAATTTCTCCGACGAGGGTCAAAATGCGCAGTGTCTACAGAAGCTGCTGTGGCAGGGACGTCGGACTCGGACATCCTCAACATACAATTCACGAGTGGCAGTACAGGCATGCCCAAGGCAGCAGCTCTTACACACAGTGGACTACTCAATAGCGCCATCTATATCGGTCGGAACCTGGGTATTACAAATCGCGATCGAATCATCATTCCAGTGCCTCTATTTCATGCGTTTGGTTTGATAATGGGTTAGCAATCATCCCCGTATACGTTGAGAAGCTGACCTGGTGTAGGTCTTTGCACTTGTTTTGCAGCCGGTGCTGCGGCAGTTCTCCCTTCGGCGTACTTCGATGCTGGAATGGCACTGAGTGCTGTTGAGAAATACCATGGCACGGGCTTGTACGGTGTCACAACCATGTGGATTGACATGTTGTCACACCCCAAGTTTGCTTCAACCAAGCGTCAGTCGTTGAGGTAAGCCTGTGCAGCCCAAGGCGGTGGTTGACCTTGAAGAACCAAGCCAAGCCAACAGTCCTTAGGTTCGGCCTGATTTCCGGCTCTGCCTTGCCTGAGGGCCTCCTCGTACGTGTCGGAACCAAATTCCCCATTCCGCATCTCAACACGAATTGGGGCATGACCGAGCTCTCCTCAATAGTGACTATGACGACGGCCTCGGATCCAATGGAGAAGAAGATGAGGACTGCAGGGCGGTTACTTCCCAACTTCAGCGCGAAAATTGTGGAGCCAGACACAGGCAAATGCCTCCCGTGGGGACAGCGAGGCGAGATAGTCATCAGCGGGTACGGGCTCATGCACTCTTATTTCGGGGACAAGGACAAGACGGCGCAGGTTTTGAAGCAACACCCCGAAGATCTACTTCCTGGACAGGCTGGACGAGACACCACTGGCCAGCTACGAGTATGGATGCACACAGGGGACGAAGGGTATTTCGACCCCGATGGCTATTTTGTCATCACGGGGAGAATCAAGGACCTGGTCATTCGTGGCGGAGAAAACATCTCCCCCGTCGAGGTCGAAGAGCGTCTCTACATGCACCCCGCCATCAAACAAGCAGCCGTTTTCGGTATCCCTAGCCAGCGCTATGGTGAGGAGGTCGCTGCACTGCTGGAGCTGGAGGAGGGATGTGACAGACCGTCGGACGAAGAGATCCGCTCGTGGGTTCGACAAACGTTAGCTCGTTTCAAAGCACCCGTCAAGATTTGGTGGTTGGGAGATAAGGCGAGGGGCATACCCGCCCAGTGGCCCAAGACTTCTAATGGGAAGTTGAAAAAGAAAGACATCAAGACTTTAGGTGCACAGCTGATGAAGAGCGAAAAGCAGCCGCTCCGTGCGTCATTGTAGACTGAGGCACGGTGTGGACTGTGCTCTTGGACAATGGATGTTGGGTATCACTTGAACATGGAAGATGCCCACCTAGCTATCATACCTTCATCTTTGGAGGTCCAGGACCACAATCTGATATCTCAACCCAGGAAGGAAGGACCATTACGCAGTTTACAAGGTACTAGCCCCAAGTTTCAGACTAAAGGGACAACGTGATCGGCGGAAGCCTTCCTACGATAAGCCCTCAGGGTGTAGCCTCGTCTACCGCAGTTATACAACTCCCCATCAACACCTCGAGCCACTGCACTTGGGATGCTTTCGAGACAATAAATGGCATCCACGATAGTGAAACAGAAGGTTACAACGCTAAGCTTTCTTTCGTAGTCGGGCAGTAGAATATGTCCGAGTCACCGGATCACCTTTGCAGGTCTTCATGACTCAACAGAGTAAAATGGTGGGCTCTGCAGGGTTCCAGGGTCAGTGAGACGATCAGAAGTGCCCGACTAGGTTATTAGGCGAAGAACCAATACGGAGCTAATTCGCTCCCCAATAGTCCAAGTGGTCTATCGAAGCATTCACGTGAAAGTGTCTGTGTTGGAGGGAGCAGCCACTGCATCTGTTATCTCTACACAACTTCCTGTGTTTATTCGTAGTAGACCTTATTGACCAGAGTACCAATCTTCTCGACATAGATTCTTATATCATCGCCATGATTAAGCACCACTGGAGGCTGTCTGAACAGACCGATGCCTGGTCCTGTCCCTGTCTGAATGACAGTGCCCCTCTCCAATGTTGTGCCCTGGGAAAGCCAAGCGATGAGTTTTGGGACGCTGAAAATCATTTCTCTGTGGCAGTTCGAAGTCTTGATCAGCTCCCCTTCAGACAAAGGCCACGGCGTTACAATCTTACCGAGTATTTGTATCTTGAAGGGTGGCACCGTTATAGATCGCTTTGATGTCCAGAGTGTGTGGATCGGGTATCGCGGCTGGGGAAACCAATACAGGACCAACCGGAGCGGCACCATCGAGGCCTATATTGCAAAGCGTGAGTGGAATTTCTCAAACCGTCCGCAGGGAATTTTCACCTTTGGCAAAAGACCATTGGGATGTGTTGTGTTGCTGAGTCCGAGCACTAACATCGTTGCTAGCGGTGTAACCGAGCACGTATTCTAACGCCTTCTCTTCGGGAATGTCTCGCCCAGTTTTAGAAAGGATGACCGCCAGTTCCGCTTCGTAATCCTCCGTGCCGTCCTGTGCAATCTTAGGGACATTGATTGCCGCCGGGTGTGGTCCTCCCAGAGAAGTACGGGGCTTGACAAACAAGATGGGAATCTCGGGAATGGGCATGTTCGCTTCTTTTGCGTGGTCGCGATAATTCAGCCCTATGCAGCGAATTATCGGGACCTCTTCCATCGAAATGGGTGATAATAGCTGTCAAATAGCAACGTCAGTTGGCTCTTGGTTTCACACGCTGAAGTAAAGCAAATGTTACCTTTGAAATGTGTAAAGACTTGTCTGTCACCGCACCGTCAAAAATAGAACCTGTTACCAGCTTTACGTCGACCTTCTCCCCGTTGTACACGGAAAGTCCAACGTCAGGCCATTTCGCTGCGTCCACCTGGCCAAGGTGCACTTGTCCATCCTCCTCCGCCACAAATCTAACCAAGTGCGTCCAGGTGGGAGCCATGCTAAAGTAGGAGGGTATAATTTTGATCGAATGCAGTTTATCCAGCTCTGTATACCACTCTGAGCGCAGTGGAAGTGGGTAGAACTCAACTTAAGTTGAACTTCTTTATGAGCTGGACGGTCTATCACCGACCACACCGTTTGCCGAAGAGCTTCTCGCATTGCTCATACTTCCCTAAAGTTAATCAGCATTTCTTCTCATTGGAGAGACATACCGAATTTTCCAAACTTCTCGAGAACAAAGACGGGCAGCATCGGTATGTTACCGAGAAGGGCCTCTCCGAGTAAATCGGAGTACCACGTGACTAGGTTGCTGAGTCAACTCGGTCATGCTGCCGATCTATGCACCTCGGGCCATCAGACGGTGCCTCGACTTCCATTGAGACATCGTTGCTCAATATCGATCTAGAATGTCCTTGTGCCGTCTCTCCAAGTGGGAAGAAAGTACCATATGCCGGCACACGTGGTGGGGAGCTACGCACCTATGCTCTGAGGCCTATCAATATGCCAGCCTCGCCTGCCCTTGCCCATGGTTTTCTTCCAGCTCACCGTCTTCTGCTGCACTCTGAATACATGCGTGCGGATACTAGCAAGCATCTGAACGTCAAGGAAAGCACCAACACAAATAATGCCAGGTTCTGCAAGAAATTCAGCTGCAAGGCGGCTCCTGCCACATTCTGTCCACTTTGAAGATGGTGAGCTGCCTCCATGAGATTGAGCTGCCAGACATCCTCTACCAGGCTAACAATCTCTGCAAGACTTGTATCCTCTAGTCCAAGCCTCTCAAATCCCCGGGAAAGGAAGTTCCAACTTGCCAATGTCGAAGAAAAAGAGTCCGAGAAGCTCCGTCAAGGCAGACAAGCCCAAACGGACTGCTCCAGAAAGCTGGGTTCGGTTCTGCCTTGCGTGTTGAAGCATAGCAGCCCTTGTTCTGTCGTGGACATTGCTGCCAGAAGTTTGACTCTTATGATGGGCTGCCATTTCTATAAAGTCCGCTGACAGAGGAGCTTGATCAAATGAAAGTCAGGGAAACGAAGATAATTTAAGATGGCGGTTCACAAGATCGCTGCTTTTTGTTGCGGCGTCTGAGACATATTCCACATCCATAGACGCGAGAACGTCTTCTTCCACCACTGATACTCGTACAGGCAGGCAGCCTGGTAACAAGGAACATGAAACCATCGATAGAGGACAGCTGAGGTTTGTTGGTGTCATCGTAATGGTTCGGCTGCGACGACGTTTGGGGTTGATTTTTGACTCTTGATAAAACGAATATTGTAGTCTCGCTAAGTGGTAGTTTTGACATAATAACCCTTTGATATCGTGGTTGCAGTTCACAGGCTGGGATTCTCTGGCTGCAGCCAGCATGCAATGGCTATTCAGGTCACGATCTTCCCAGAAGATCGCAGATCGACTCCTCGAATTCGAAAAGCGACGTGTTGTCTGCCTTATGGATTCTATTCACACTTCTTGAAGCCCAGTTGTGTCGCCTCGTCTCTTTCAGCTTTTCCAATCATCGGTGCAGAAGTGGGAAACTATGCAGCTTCAGGTTGTGGTTTCATTTGTCTACTCAGTGTCGAGGATGTCAAAAGGCTCGTGGGGCTTTGCGATGGTCCTGGGTTTGGGAGCATACCACTTCTAATGGAAGATGCGTTGGAAAAGACACGTTCATGCCATTTGCTGTAGTCTCATTAGCCTGTGCGTGCCCACGTAGAGGTTGAACAACCATTTACCATGTCCTCAATTTCTTCGGCAGTAGTTAACCTCTTAGCTATGAATGCCGCGTGGGACAAACCGCTCCGTAAGACCACCCTTATCTCAGTTGTGAGCTTAGAAAACGCATGAGGACCGAAACTGTACGTATATTGATTCGGAACATTGAGCTGGAGAGTTGGCCACCTTCATTTACGAGCGCAGAAAGGTCTTTTATGTGTGTTTTGCGAATCAGCAGCTGTCGCAGTCCAACTGACGCCCCACAGAAAATCTACGCTGAGCCACTTTGGACCTCGTTGATAAACCCCCGAAGATCTGAAGTCGTCTTTTGGAATGATTCTCCCCACTATTATCGACCCCAGCGCTCTAGGAACCGAGAATCGCTCTCACGAGCATCCTCGTCAGGTTGGTTGTATAGCGCCATATACTCGTGACTGAGGGGCTTAGTGATCAAAACTATTGATCAACAGTAATCGAGGTTGCAAGTACGAAGTCTGCTGGTGTGGGGACCCTTGTTCGCTTCATCACAGTCCTAACATTTCGTCTACACATAATCCAACTTGACGACTTCGATTAGTCAACCATTGGAGAGAAGTCAAACCGTCGTACAATCTATCTTTGCAAGTTGGGCTTAACAATATTTCCTCTTGAGTCATGATTATTTTCATTAGAGCATGCTTGATGTGCCTTCTAGTGGCTGGCTTGCACGTTCACCGGATCCCAACTCTCCGTTTTGGGGAAGGGCCTTATGCACCTGAACGTCCTTGATCTGTATGACGAATGCATTCATGTGCGAAGCGCCAGCTGCTCTGATATTCGCAAACCGAAAAGTCGGCACGATAAGATGATCGTACACCTGGTGGTCAAAGCAGAGATGCGACGCCTTTCTTTCACCAATGATGTCCACATTGTAATCCATCCTTCGCAGCCGATATCTCTCGTCAAAGTACAAATGTTGGATCTTTGTGTGCGTCGGGAAATCGTCTGGGAATTCCACCTTGAGAACCCGCCAGACCTCTCCATTGTCGCACTCGTGCGGATCCATCTCCCAGGTCTTGAAGCTTGGGAGACGCAGACAAAACGGCAGGGTGAAATAGTATCGGAAGGCGTATCCCACGAAATAGATCAGATGGTGTTCGTCCCATTTTGTCGTGTCTTTGTGGCCTCGGAAAGCCGCGCGTGGGTTGTCTCGAACACTGAGAGGTCCCTCCATGTCGAGCAACCCAACTTCCGTCCTCGTCGGCACATAGACTCCTCGGATGTTTCCAAATTTGTGAAAAGTGACTCTGTGCTGTTTGGCATCGATGGTAAGGTGGGCCTCGTGGTATCCCGGAAACCCCTTAGCCGCGAGCGCAGGTCCAGAAAATATGAAAGTCGTCGAAATTGAGTGGATGTCATTCCAGTGGTCTAGCCCTCCATTTGCCTCGACAAGGCGATCTACGAGATCGGACCTACAAAAGGAATGTTCAGTAAGTCGTTTATGGGACAGATCGATCCTCTTACCCGCTCGAGCCACGATTTTCCATGCTTCGATGCAAAGTCAAAGAAATATTGGAACTGCCCAGGGAATGAACTGAAGTTATGACAGAGTACAAAAAACTGTTGAGGATGAAGATTAAATTTGGCGCTACATCGACTCTCACTTCGAATTTTCATTTCTAGGGGATGATATTGCTGTCTTCCTGGCGAGTTCACTAATCGTGATCTCTGTACGAAATCTTCGAACATCTCTATTTCGAGTTTCTAAACATTGAATTAGTTAACCTACTAATCACTTGCGAATAGTCTCATCTTGGCATATTAATCTAGACAGCCTCTGTGACTTCTGTAAGGAGTCACCTCCCTCTGTTCACGTACAAATACGGCGCTCGTTCTTCATGTCTCAAAGGCTTGAATGCGCCGAGAAAACTTTCTACGCAGTATATTATAGCAAGGATGTCGTCGAGGTCTGTCCTGATAATTGGGGGGTCTGGTGCCCAGGGAATACCAATTGTGCAAGGTAGATACCATGTCCTACATCATTCAAACGGTTTCCTCAGCGACGATCACTGACACCTGGTAGAATTATCTCGTCACCCAGAATATTCACAAATACGAGTTCTTACTCGCGATCCAGAATCAGCCAACTGCAAGCTCCTCGAAAAGTTACCAAAAGTCACGTTATCCGTCGGTGCGACAGACGACGTCGATGCCCTGCAAGCCGCCCTTGCTGGGGTCGACCTAGTCTTCTGCAACATCAACAGCTTCATCCTAGGCATCAAGAACGAGATTTATTGGGGCATTCGGATCTACGAGCTCTCCGTCCAAGCTGGCGTTAAACATTTCATCTGGTCGTCCCTGGATAACTACATGTTCGACACGAACTTTGACGAATCCCTCCGCGCAGGGCACTACTACGGCAAAGCCTACGTCGAGCAATGGCTCTATTCCATCCCGCAGAGAGAAGACGGCACGCGCTGGTCCATCCTCACCACGGGACCCTACGTCGAGATGCTGTGGGAATTGTTCTGCCCAAAGAGAGACGCCGACGGGACGTACGTGTTCCAAATGCCACTCGGCGACGGGGCGATCCCGTTCGTCCACCTAGAGGACCTGGGCCCGTATGTCCACTGGATTTTCGCCCACATCGACCGGTCTGCCGGCTTGAATCTCAAAGTCGCCATCGAGCATGTGCCTCTGGATCTTGTCGCTTCGACCTTCACCAAGGTCACCGGGAAACCTGCCAGGGCCGAAGACCTGTCGCTGGACGAGTACTTCGCCGTCGGCGGATTCGCGCCGTTGGCGGACCGAAAACTGGGATACGAACCCCCCGGGGTGGAGGACAAAACCCTCCTGACGTACCGTCAGAATTTCAGCAACTGGTTCAACATCTATCGACGGTCTGGGGGGAACAAGGGCATTCTTCGCAGAGACTATGAATTCTTGGACCAGGTCCTGCCTCAAAGAGTTCGCAGTCTGGAGCAATGGATGAGAAAAGCAGACTACACTGGTGAACCAAGGCCAGTGTTGAAGAATTTCGGGGAGACGAGAGCGTCTCGCAGGGGCGCAACGGACCATAAAATCTAGGTGTTGGGCATTATTGTCGCGCTGTGATGTAGCGAACAAGTCCCTTCTATTATTCCTCGTGCTCTCTACGCGTGGACTGGTAGTGTATGAATTTGGCCTTCCGATATCTACCAGAGGCCAGGAATGACGAAAATGACCAGTTACCCAGATCGATGGAAGAACCAACTTGGCTGGCTAAGTGTTTCGGGTAGACGCATTGCAGATAGGTGATAGAGGGGCCCTTATGTCTTGCACGTCGATTGTACAAAGCAGCAACCTTGAAAGTTAGGCAATAACAAGTAGCATCATTAACCCAACGGCACCACCCACGCGCGAAAGTCCAGCTCTTTTTGTCGAACGCGATTGAGTCGTATTGTGTGTCACCCATATATTCCGTTGGGCTTCAAGCAATAGTCCGCGTAGTGTCAAGAGGACCTTCCGTTCGGTTCTAAGCTCATATGTGGTAAGATTAATGCTGGTGAATGGTTAGAACGATCGACTTATTTATTTCTTGAGCACATTTACAAACCTTCCCAAACACCTCGGTGAGTTCGGCTTCTTCCAGTAAGGCATCAAGCTGTTCCCTGGTGTCCGCTTCATGATCGAAAAATCTCGAGCTGGACACTATTGCTCCATCGGCGCGTCGCCTGGCTGGCGGGTACTCCACCACCCGAGGAGACGCTGCCGAATAGCCCCAGCGACGCCACCACAAAACGCAGTAATCTCTAGTGGTGGCCAAAGCACGCAGAATGGCGCCATCAGGATCATCCCGGACTCTGGCGTTGCGTCGGGACTTCGCTCGTGTGATGGTCTCTCGGATGAGTTTGCTCACAAATTTCACGGAAAATCGGTCTTCTGGCTCACAGGCAACTCCATAGACAAGCGAGGCGGGATAATAGTAATCATCGTAATTGGACGAGAAGAGATCAGACCTCCTCACGACCAACCGCAGAGAATCGTCATACCATTCAAGGCCAGACTCGCGATCGCTATATTCCGTGACCAACAGAGAGGGCTTGCTCTGGACGGGCTCAAGATGTTCGTAGGTTACGAAATGTGGACTCCACTTCGTTGTGACTTTGAATAAGGCATGGTTGAGCGGACGTTCAAATATGAACTCTGGAGGGTGATACTGACAAGCTCGGGGAAATAGGTTGTCGTTCGACCTAGAGCTAGAACTTGAATTGGTTTGTGAGGCAGGTGCTCTTCCACGATCGCGTATGAGGCCTCCACTGCCTGTGTTAGAGGCGTCTTCCTCTGCTTTGAGCCACCGAGAGTACTCGCGCGGTGGCGGGGCATGGGAACGCCGGTCGCGTTTGCGTTTCACTGGTACTTTGTCGAAAACACCTTTGCCCCTACCCACATACGGTGAAAGGCCGCGTAGGGCAGTGCGATATCTCGCGCAATAGAGTAAGGTAATCAATTTCCAATTTCCAGTCTGAACCGCTGCAATTTCCAAGGTGCTTAATGCAAACGACCGAATGCTGCTCTTGTCATAACTCTGTCGTCCCGATCTGTTTGAAGTAACCTGGTGATAGTCGGGGTTAGAAGGCCCTCGAAAGACTGGTGGTGAAGAGATAGATCGAACCTCCTCGACCTTCAGGGAGCGATCATCATCTTTCTTACGAGTAAACAGCTTCAAGAAGGTGCTTGATTGTTTGGCACTGCTGGAACCACTCAAGGTTGACGATTTCCCCGCGCTTGAGTCGTTACCCACTCTAGGTTCCCTCAATTTTATAGGCTTTTGCTCTTTGAGTTCGTCAACAACCTGCTGGATGATGGGTGGAAAGAAGACAGAGGGAGACTCCAAGGCGTACGAGACGTGCTGTTGTTCCACTGCTACCAGACAGTAGGCATGAATCATAGCCTCAGCTGGAATTTGGTGCCAGACCATCGTAAGCGCCATCAGACCAAAGAGAGCCTCAACAGCAGACTTCATGCCCTTAGAGCACGCGCAATAGGTAAACTCTCCGGCAATGATGGACCTAGCTTCGTAAAGGTCTCCGTACAGAAGTCGATGAGGTAGAAAACGCCAACGTCCTCTATGGGATTCGAGAAACTGAGTTGCGGTCAAGTTATCCAAGGCTGGATAAGTGAGGTTGTCTAGGACATCAACATAAGGTCCAAAAAGGTAGAGATCCTCAGGCTTCGAGTATGGTTCCACAGCCATGATGAACGGAAGTAGACAACGATCTTCCAGGTACTGGACAGTATTGTCAATATTTTTGAGCAGGTCACTTCCTTCTTTCACCGGTAACGGAGAGTAAGGCGTCTCGAAGTCTGGAAACGAGACTTTGAGGTAAGTCAGCATCCCTTCTTGCACAAATCTGGATGCTTCCCGCTCCGTGAACGCCAATAGCCCTGCTCCTTCCTTGGAAGCGAAAAAGTCTTTTGCCGTCCGGTGTAGCAGTTGAACTACATCGTTGGCCTTGTAATATTCATCCTCTTCCGAATCTTTCTCCTCCAACTGATTCAACGTGGTTGGTCTCAAATTGAGGCAAGGTAGAGGGGGATCAAGCTTTTCTTCCTCAGCCCTGATCACCTCAATAAAAGCACCACATCGATGGCGGAGCTGACGCACGAAGCTTGTCCAATGGGCACATGGAATTCTATTCCTTTCGATGGGGTCACCATGGGTGAGAGAACTCGCGTCGAAACGACTCGGCACTGCAAGAGCTTCACGTAATTGCTCGAGAGTGAACGGACGCATCAGGTTGGCACCACTGATCCACATTAACGCGTCGCGGGTCTTCCGCAAACCGTCTTCACCCAGTCTGTCGCGCAGGTCTTGGATCATGTGACGGTACATAGTGTCAATCTCCAAGGGGAGCTTCCTTAGAACAAGCTCTAGCTCGGAGAAAGAGCAAAGACCTTGTCTCGCTCGCCGCTCAAGCACTGTGACGATGAGTTTGACCCACAGAACAACTCCTTGGGCGTTTTGAAATATGTATTTTCGCATACCCTCATAACCCGCGTCTCGATCTCCCTGGCCAATTGGCGACAAAACCTTCTGTTCGGTGTTGATGTTTGGTCGATTTCGCATTCGGATAACTCCCCGTGAGGGAGATTTCTCGTTTCCAATATCGAATCGTCGCATAGTGTTGCGAATAGAGAGCATACCATTATCCACGAGCTTCGCGATGGCGGCCATGTTCTCAAGTTCCAGAACGAGCTTATAAACATTTCCATACCGGGATTGGTGCTGTGACAGGACCACATCAATGTCCAGGAAAGGTCGACTGAGAATGATCAATTTGATTCTGGACTTTTCCACATCAGATACCATACGGCTCAGTCCGGTCAAGATAGCTTCTCGGGAATTGTCATAATCTGGATTGTCCTGGGATTCATCCATTGCGTCGATGATGCAGGTGACACTGGCACCAGTATGTGCAATGTTGTCAAATATATTGATCAGCTCCGCATTCGAAGTCCACCACTGCTTCGACCCTGGCGAACTTCGTCTGTAGGACTCTTCAAACGAGGGAAAGATGGATTTGTCCTGTTTCAGCAGTTGCTGAAGAATAGACAACAGTAAAGATTCATGTGAAATGAGTTTTTCGCCTCCTCTTGTGCTATAAAACCAGTGTCCAATGATCCAGGCCTGCTTTTGGTCTGTTTCCGTTGCAAGTTGTCGCAGTATGGCTTTGGCAAGCACTGATTTACCGCTTCCAGGCTTACCCTCCACCCAGAGAATAGCTGCTTGACTATGCTGCCAGCCCAAATACTTACGATGGCACCAAAGCCAGTCGGTCGTGCCAGAGTCGGCGGCGGCGATCTGCTCAAGTCGAACATGCTGAGCCTCAAAGTCCATCGTTTGCAGGCATTCTGAACGGAGCTCATCAGTATAGATATATACAAAAATAGAACATATCAAACTTCGGGTCTTAGATGCTCTGGAAAGGTAATTAAGCTGGCACAAAGTAGCATCATGATTCAGGACTTGCGCCGTGATTCCTTTCTGTCTTGTAAAAGTGAGGAACTATGGATGAAAGGGTGGCGACTTGCCTCTGTACTCGGTGTCGTGATCTATGCTATGGACACCAGCCAACGCGGCCTGGATTACCTGAGTTGGAATGGCACCGATGATCAATCGACACTTCCCTGCAGCAGCCATAGTAGACAACTTGCTTAGCAGCTCACTGGCTCGTGAAGGATCGATGTTTTCTGCATTTTGAAGAGCAACAATGGTGTTTCTCCTAGCGAAGGTCAACGACAGTTCAAAAGCCTTGAAGAGAGGCTTTAGGAGGGGAGACTTGGACTGCATTAGTAGATTCCTCATAACTTGCTGATCGCCCATGTTGAGTCCCTTGATCCAAGCTTCGATGTCCCCGGCTTCAAGATCATCCGAATCGAGTGCTTGGAAGGTGAGAGAGGAAAGGATTTCTGCCACAGTGGTTGCTGCCGTATGCGACATGCTTCCCTTGCCGCTGTTTGTGGTGCCTTTGCTGTCGGCACAGCAGTGGAAGTATAGTACACGGGTGTCGATGTCTTGAGAAAGACCGCAGTAAGCCGCTGATTCCAGCACGACATGAGGCGATGCTGTAGGGCTATCCAGGGCCGAGGGCTTCTTGTACCAGAGAACACCGCCATGGTGAAGCCAGGAATTGTAATGAGAAGTATGAAGGAACCATTCGAGAGATGATCCTTCAGTAAAGTCACATGCTTTTCGTTGCATCTCTAGAGCAAGGATGGATGCTTCTTGAATTCGATCAAAAAGAGTATGGATCCCTGAGGCCAACAGGTATTAGCACGCAAAATAGAATCATTCAATGGCTAAGCAAAATTGTACGTACAAGCTCGCTCCTTCAATCTTGTCACTGCAGTTTTCAAGGAGACAAAAGTCTTTTCCGTTTGAATGTACCTTCTCGTTACTGCCTGAATCTCGTCCAGCTTGTCTGCCTGTTCCAAGCCGACCAATTCCAGACCTTGTTCAACATTGAAACGGAATGCTTGTCCATGTTGATACAGATGTGTGTTTTGCTTTTCGAATGTATCGGCAATCGCCTCGGTATTTGTAGTTATTGCGACCAAGGCCTCGCCGATCTCGTTCTTCAGGATTGAGTCGCCAAATGCCTTTAGTTGCAACTTGCCCGTACCGATAGAAACGAGACACTTGAGATTGTCCTCAAGTTTCCAACCACGGCCTTCACTCCAGATGTCTGAAGCTTCGGTCCAGATTTCGTTGATCGGGTTGTTGGCCCCAGTTGCACCATCGACAAAGCCTTCTCCACCGATCTGGATCGGGTCGAAAAAGGATGTGGCTGCAGAAGTGGCCCTGGCCACCTCCCAGATCTTCGCGATGTTTCGGAGGTCATTACCTCGCCTCTCGGAGTAGTAACTGGAGAGTACGACAGTATCCGAGGTTTGTCTGCTTGTTGCACAAACAAAACTTGGGAACAATGGTCAGTATCAGAGAAAATAATTTGCAAGACAGAGTCAGGCAGCGCCTCAAACAGGGACTCACGTTCTACAAACGGGTGACTTCTCTTTGAACAATTCATCCTTAGCAAAGCCATGCTTAATCAGTATTTCTTTGATACCCCTCTCGAGCGCCCCATGGTCGAAGCGGCCCTGTATGCGACCATGAACGTTCACACGGTGATGCAGCTTTGTGAAAATCGCCGGTGACAATATTTTATATGCCTCGATGCATTGGTCCACGTCCATTCTCAGTCGTCCGAGCATAATCGCGATCAAGCCGCCCGTGGATGTCCCTCCAATCAGATCGAAATAGTCGCATGGCTTCGGGGGGTCATCAGGATCCAACCCCTCCATGAGCTTCTTCAAGATCAACAGCGATGAAAGCCCACGTACTCCCCCACCATCCAGAGAAAGAAGGCATAGACCCAGACCGTGGCCAGCACCATCCTTGGGGGACGCCATCATCGTATTCTGCTCCTGCATACTAGCCTCAGCAGGAAGCAAATTGAAAAGAATCGAAGCAAGATGGTCTGATCAGGCTGCGGATCGAACAATCTGTTTACCACGAGCTTGATGACACAAGGCTGGCAATGAAGAAATCTCGCGTTCAGGACTTGGACTTCTCTGCACTCGCAACCTGTCGTCACAGGGATTCAATGCATTTTCAAGTTGTTTCTTGTCATAGACCTCGAGAAGACTCGATCTAGGGTTAAGATAGACATATTTTCAGCCGTGTGACCCCTCACCTTTGTGTCGAGCTAGACACGTGGTTAGCGTCTCTCCAAGTGAGGCGATTGCCTGCAGGACACCATCAGGAAGCAGGGTCCTTGATAGGTTGAAACCTGCGGAAGAAAATCTGGCTGGGCCATGCGTTGACCCCTCATCAGGACTGTTCGGCATCGTCGGAGGAGACATGCTAGCCCAGAGCAAATTGAATCAGGATGAAAGCTATTGTTCGCCCACAGGTAGGATTGGCGGTGATGTGAAAATCGGGTCACCTCTGATATCTGGCAGCTGCTAGCCGCCGTGCGAGCCGAAGAGTCCTACCTAGAAATTTGGGTGCGGTGTCGCCCTCAGGGAACGTCAGGCGAGCACAGGGCGGCATCAACCTCTTTCCCAAACTGGGCGAAGTCGTGAACAGATTTCACTGTCCTCAGCAATCCCTGCTCCCCGCGCTATTGCTGTCCATTGTTGATTCCCTTCGTCATTATACTCTGTCTTTCAGCGAGTCTGAGCTGTATGCTCTGCGGTCGCTACTGCTGGAGCAGCAGCAGATACAGCAGGATCAGCTTGCGAGTTCTTCAGAATGTGACTGGGTCGAGCCTTTCGTCTCTCTACTCCGCGATATGAAAGTAGAGGACATATTGGGTAGCTACTTGTGCTGGATCACAGGGGAAGAAGGCCTAGATGGTTCTCGCACTCGACTTTTGTTCGTGAAAAGAAGACAAGAAATCGGGTGGATGATGTAAAGAGGACGCAACAAGACCCGACCCCACCCCCTGCGCCCAGGAAGTCGACCCGAAACACGGGGCAAGACGAACAACCTCAGGCACCACCACGATCCTTCTCTTCCTCTGCGCCACTGAAATCCTCGCTCGCGGACCCTTTGTCCCCACACAATTCTCTAGACTCCTTCCACGCCCACGCCGTCCGTTCGGGCCTCTCCCCAACCAGCACAGTCTACACAGGCACAACCTACGAGTACCTTGCACAATCCACCCTTCGACCTTATGGTTTTGACCCACATAGGGTGGGCGGCCAAGGCGATCGCGGGGTCGATCTTATAGGCATCTGGAGGATACCCATCTTGACGCGGCTCGGCAAATGGAAGGAGAAGAAGAACTACGCGACCACTCCGCAGCATAATGCTTAGGGACTTGGCGAGCTCAATGGAATCGAGACGCACCCACTGAATGTTCTTGTGCAATGCAAACAGCTAGCGGGTAGGCATGCGAAAATTGGCCCGAATTTGACCAGGGAATTGGATGGGGCGGTCAGAGGGGCGAGCAGTGCAGCTTTGATTAACACGCTCTACCCTCCAAGCACTACCGTCAACACGATACTAGAAGGCACAAGCGGAGAGAGCGGCGACGAGGACGAGACACGACAATTAGATGCACGGACTCAACCCCCTATCGGTGTTCTAGGAGGCACGAGGCCGGCGACCAAGGGTGTAGTAGACAGCATGTGCCGGTCAACTCGTGGCCTAGTCTGGATCATGATGGAGGAAGTCACCGACCAGGACCAAGATTCAGAGTATGGAAACGAGCCACAACTTGATGCAAGTCAAAGAGCCGCGGCGGATGATCCAGAAACGCACTCTCAGTCCGGCTCCGGCTCCGGCTCCGTCGTCAACTCGCACCCGAACCCGAACCCGAACCCGAACCTGAAAGGACGGATCAAGCAAATGCTCTGGAACCAAGCGGCACGCGAAGCCGGTCTTGAAGGTGTGGACGTGATGAACCGATATGCTCCCGACGGCAAAGAGGAGGCAGTCCTGATGCGTGGTGGACGAGTGTGGGGTGGAAGCTATTAACTATCTTGCACTAACTAACTATACTCTACTGTACTCTACTACGGAGCATATTGTGCCGTATCGTAGCATACGGCAATCCAAAGCAACCATCCCGTCCTCCTGGTTTAGGAACTTCTTGGTTCTTGGTTCTGGATTCCGGAGCTCAGATTCCAGGCAATCTGAACGCCTAGACATGTCGCTTGTCAATAGACTCGGTCCCCTAAATGTTGAGTCTCGCACAGATAGCAGTAGTTGGAATCAGGAGGAGTACCACCAGGAGTATCACCAGTAGTAGCACCAGTAGCAGCAACAGCAGCAGCCAGTCCAGTGCAAATTAGTTGCCCGCCAGCACCCTCCGAGCCGTGGCCGCTCCGCTTGCGATCAAAAATTGAAAAACTAAATTTAAAAATAAGAACGAGTGGATCAAGAAATTTAACTCGTGAAATCTCGATTCAAAAAATAGTCAGAGGACATGTACACCTGTTGGAATTCCAAGCATATAGGCAATCTCAGCTAGGGTATGATATGATATGGTGCGGTATCGTACATTGCCTCCCTTATGTCCGTCTCTCTGTCTGTCTCCTGCATCTCGTTCCTCAACGAACCAATATGGTAGGAACGGCATGGCATAGCAAGGTGTTCCGCTGTGCCACTGCAACACAAAACCCGAATAACAATGCCAGCGGGGAAACCAAAAAGAAAGAGGAAAACCCTCAAAACCAGAAAGCACAAGCACAAGCACAAGCACGAGCAGAAGCATAGGAGCTCTATCCCCCAGTCCGCAAGTCTGATACATGCTGGGAGAAGATCGTCCTCGATCCTCCATCCCACCCTGTCTCCGGCATAAACAACCACATCCATATCTCCTATCCCACCCCATCCCTCCCCCTCCCAACCGGGCATCTGCGCTTGTGTTCACGGGCCAGCACATTGCCCGCTTCTCAACCACCATCAAACAAAGGAAATATTAAACGTCAATCGTGTGTATTAGTCTTTCACAATTTGGCCTTGGGCGGTTCCAGGCTGAGAAGGAGCGTATCCCTAATGTCACTCGCGGCCTCGTTGAGGTAGAAGCTCATCCGCTCACAACCGAGCTTCTTGGAGACGATGTTGAATTGCGAACTGTTACCACAAGTCAGGATCGTCCTTCCGAGGACGAACAAACGAGAAAGGAGGTGAGGGGAACAAGACCTATTCTCATTAATCATATAAGCAATGTCCCATCCTTAACATGGAAATGGAAAGTACACAAGTCGAGATTCCGACGTCGAAATCCCTGTATCTCGGCTCACCTACCACTATGGTCCTGCCCACCCCGAACGAGACCCAGTTGCTCGCATTAGTAATTACCCCGCCCAGCAACTCCACTGATGGGGATTAGTGGATTTTTACGCCTGTACCTATGCCGACCAACTGCCAGAATTCTGCCCTTTTATTTTGTCCGTCAAACTATCCGCCAACATCCTCCTACCAACCATGGCCAGATCACGGGCTGACGGGAACGACAATGAAGCAACAGGTGCTGCCCCGGGGCAAGAAAAGCACCGCAAGGCAAGAAAGTACGGATTTGCATGTGCGAATTGCCGAAGGCGGAAAGTGAGGTGTGATGGTGCTTTACCGAGTTGCCGTCGATGTCGGACGAGTGGACTGAAGTGCTGTTTTGATAAGTGAGCCAGCTACACGATCTAAAGCTAGATGAGGGCTAATGCCGGAGCTGCAGGAGCCCTTCGATAGCACACTCGGTCGCATTACAGACGAGACTCGATGCTTACGAGTCTCTCATGGATCGACTAGAATGTGCCAACGACGGCGAACGACTGCGAATATTGAAGGAGCACTTTGACCAAGACGCCAACAGAAGACAGAGAGACCCGATAATCCCGGACGGGCCATTGTCGGATAGTCCACATTCGGACCTACCATCAGATGAAGAGATGATCGCCAACGAGACCTCCGTAGACGTCGACGGGCGAATATGTTTTTTTGGCACTACGAGTCTCTATCATTACAAGCCAGACCAGTCGACAGCGCCTCGTATGCATCCACTAGGAGAGCTGGCCAGCACGATGTTTCCAGGACCGCAAGTTGCAACGCCAACGTCACAGTTGTTGGACAGCCCGAGTGACTTTCTCAACCCAGTCGAACAACCTGACATAAAATCGTTCTTGAATACCCACGTCAGCTCTGAGATATGTAACGAGCTGTTGGAGACCTATTGGTGTTGGCCACACAATATCCACTTCGTGCTCTGCAGAAAGATCTTCATGCGTACGCGTCAATTCCATGCCTCTTTACCTCGAATGTCTAACTGTTTCTTACAGGAGATCTCATTGCTGGTGGACCTTATGTGACCCCTTTTCTCGTGAATGCGGCTCTTGCGCAAGGAGCTCGGTACTCTGACCGAGCAGATGCCTCAGAACTGGGGAACTACTTTGCTGAACAGGCAGTGAACCTCATGGCAGCAGAGATACAGAAAGACAGTTCGATTCCCACCATTCAGGCTCTGCTCATTCTGTCAGGGCATGAAAGCATTATCGGTCGTGCTTCTCAAGCGTGGCTGTTCTCTGGGATGGCGTTTCGGATGATGCGGGACATGGGGATGCACATCCACGAGCGAAAGTTGAGCCTAGCAGGTCAATTCTCGCAGGTAGAGCTCGCTATGCGGCGGCAGATCATGTGGAGCTGCTACACGTGCGACAAGGCATTAAGTTTGTTACTTGGCAGAGCGCCGACTATTCACGACACCGTGGCTCTTCCCACTCCTGAAACCATGCTCGACGGGGAAGAGACAGAGGAAGAGGAATGGAAACCAAGATTCGCGACAACATCAATGTTAGAGATTGGTGTTTCGCAGAAGGCCAAAACAAACAGTCGGTTTGCAGCCTACTGCCGGCTTTGTGTGGTGAGCAAAGGAGCTCGATGACAGACGAATGAATGAGATCCGCTGACACGTCTTCTAGATAATCGACCGCATCTTGACCACGCTATACTATCGCCGAAAAGCGTATGCCGACCCGCAACAGCTCCAAGGATTCCTGGAGAGCTCCGTCGAAAAACTCGAGGAGTTCGCGCTAAGTCTTCCACCTGATCTCTTCATCCGAGAGGACTGTCGGTTGATTGCCTGCCCACCTCTGCACATCCTTATCTTAAAGTAAGCCTCATTTGCTTCCTTGCTTGTTTTGGGGATCTTTTCCCCTCTGACCGGAGCACTAGCCTTCTTTACCACGCAACCTTTATCCTACTCTGTCGTCCCTACCGTTCGCAACTGCCACGGGCCCGCGAAATGGCAACGTCTGCGGCCGAGATGATCGACCGCCTTATCATGCTGCACATTCGAAGATTCGGTTTCCGGATCGTCACCTATCTGGAGTCATACACCATGTTCGTTGCCTCGACGATCAACGTTCTCGATCTGAAGGATGGCATCGATAAGGACGGCGCGAGAGCGCGGCTTGCGCTCAACCTGGAGGTGTTGCGGAGTGCCACTGGCACCCCCAGCAGCACGCGGTGCGTGACCAGTTCCCCAAGCATTGCGCGCTGCGTCGAGATCATCGAGACGCTGCTTCGGGAAAACGAAAAACCCCTCGGCGCAGACAGACCCCAGCACGATAAAGGGCCTAGCTCGCCGGCGGGCATGCAAGAAGCCGATACGGGTGCAATGCCCGGCCACCAACAGCCGAATGGAAACCCCTTGGCAGCAATGGCACAGCAACCTCCGAGCTTTGAGAGCCATGTCCCACATCCCTTGGCGGTAAATATCAATCTTCCTGCCTCCATTTGTGTGTTGCTATTTTCTCTGACTTCGTTTCTTGCCCCCGCAGTTTTCCATCCAAGACACATGCGGACGGGGCGAGGCGCCGCCGTTTTCGGATTTCGAGCCCACGTACTTTGACAACTGGCCGGCCTTTTTCGACAACGAGCCACCCGCGTTTCAGAGCGAGCAGTCTTTCTTCGACGCCGTGAGCGCGCTACCGGCGCCCCTGCCCGGGCGAAGCTGCAGCATGGACATGGGAATCACCAGGCCTTCTGGCCACGATGTTGTCGAGTAATCGAGCACTCGGCACAGCTGTCCGCCGACTTCCTCCATTTCCCATCTGAAACTAAAACAACAACCTGGTAATTCTCCAGTGATTGTGGTTGCTATAGTGATAGTCTCACCAAATATCCGAATGGGTGGACGGCTTTCTCTCAATAATTGGGGTCAAGGGAAAATACACCAATCTGTCGCAAGAATTGATCTCAGGGCGGTCATAGTGCTCGTCTAAGCATATTCTCACCATATGGAACAAGTTCATTATATACTTGGAGCTTGAAATAGTACGCATGCTTCTGCTGAACGTCTTGACTTTTATGATGTCTGTTGCCATGCCTCATTCAAACACAAATGTGAATGCAAAGGTGGCCATGTTCGCCACGAATTGGCCGAACCACGGCGCAGATGGCCCTATCTTCCGCACCATATCCGGAACCATGTGCGCTCGTACAACAAAGATCCGACTCCATGAGAGCAGCTCAAGTTTCCGATCCCAATAGATCTGCTTGCTTTGGATTTCGGAACTCGAGCTGGGAAGGGTCAATACCCATGTCGACCTTGTAGCTGCCGTATCCCGGTTCTAGGATATTAGCTGCCTCGGATCTAGCGTACTCATCGATGTTCGACATCAAGCCCGAGGCGAATTCGTCAGAGAAGAAGTCCACCGGGTCAGGCAAGGAGTCGCTCAAAGGCGGCTTCCTCGTGTCTCGAAGATCTGGTTGGCAATCGCCCAGCAAGCTGGAACTAGGAGTCGGGACGGTGCAACCGGTTGATTCGTTCTCGTGATTGCTGCCCACCAAGTCACTGTTGACATCCGATCCCGTGGGCTGATTTGGAGAGCTTCCGTGCAGGTCTGCCTGAGCTTTCTCAAAGAGGCGATAGGCAACTGCGGCGCCCCAGTAGTTGTCTCGCAGTTCTGACAGAACCATCATACAGAGTTGGAACTTGTGCGCGCTCAAAGTTTTCAAGATCGGCGTGGTAGGTAGCGTCATTTCGACGAGATGGATTTGGATGGCCGGAAATATCGCTGCCAGTCTACCTGGGAGTGTTAGCCCGGGAAGTATAAAGACAGAACAGCGGCGAAGTCTCCGAGAGACATACGAGAGCGGCTTCAGCCATTTTACCTTGTCCAAGTCAACAAGGCGTTCAAGAGTCACATTGATTTGGGCTGCTGCAGCTTTGACTTTTGTGCGGGAAAGGGCCTGAAGCGCCTGTGAGGTGGGTTGACGAGACTGGTAGGAGTTCCGCTGTATGTATGGCCTATAGAGTGCGATAATGGAAGCTCTGTAAGTCTAGGTGTTAGAGTCTGCTGAGAGGTTCGAGGGAAGCTCCTCACTCGCGAAACATTTTGAGATCGTACGCGTGGAAGGCGACGATATCGTCGGTGGTGCCCCCCTCAGCACCATTCGTATCACACTCGAGGATTTCGCTCTCACACCTTTTGACAACCTGCAGACCTGGTAATGACCCTTGCAGACTGTAAAAGTTCTGGATTGTGTTACCCAGCGCCTTGCTCAACCTCACGAAGTTGACCCAAAGAGTCGCGAGAGTCCTATGGTCAGGGGAGAAATATTTCTCGGTGATCGAGTTCGGCAGGGCGTGTAACTCCTTGTAGACATCCTCAGGCACAGGAAACGGTGTATCACAGAATTCAAGTTGGATTCTCATTGGCCATCCATGGCTCAAAGAGAGCCAGCGATCGCACACGAAGCAGCTCCACCAAATCCGTCGGAACAGGCTAACTTGATCTCGCTGGAAATGGGTCTCTGGGCCCATGGCATCGAGGTCACGATGGAGACCCATGGTCTGGCACAGAGTGATGGCAGTGCCTGTCCACTGCCAAGCATGCCATGCCGTGGCGCGGTCTTGTGTGTCGGTGTAGAAGAAAGACAGCAGTAGTGCGGATTGGACTACTTTCACTTTGTCTTTCTCGACGTCGCTGTCGAAAATATACTGTGGGAGAACAGTCTTAGCACTCACATTCCCGAGTTGCGAGATTGCGAACTCTTACCTTTGCTCGTCGATACATTGCCAACTTCATATCTTTTCGTGATGCATAGCCTGCTTTCTTGATTATATGCGCATCGACAAACTTTTGACATGTCAGCCCATTTAACGAAGATCTAGGCTTGATTGCCTACACTTGCGGCTGCGAAAAACACGCTCCATAAAACCAGCAAGTTGGCGGCCTCCAGCCGAGGCTTCGTGAAGTCTTCGAAGAAACGACTCGTGTGGATCACAGGAATGAAAGGGTGGACAAGGTGGAAATAACGTGAGATGAGCTCCTGACAGATGCTTGCCGCGGGAAGCGACAAGCAACCCTTTTTCCGGAGAAATTCGAGGTCTTCTGGGTCTTGTACTCGCTCCGGAGTGCTGGTAATGATCTGGTAGCGCGAGGATACGTCCTGTCTGTCACACGGAAGATCCAAAAGCAGACCATTTATCGCTTGCTGATCGCCTGAGATTGTCAATTGTTTTCCCGCGTCAGGGTACTCTGAACTCACCTACATAGAGGAGGCCTCGATTCTCGCCCGAGGTCAACTCAGGGTTCTCCATCGCTGTGCCTGTGTCCCCAGGAGATTCCAGATCCATTCCTGCCAGGGTGCTAGGCATAATCACACCTGGATATGTAGGTGATGTTTCTGTCTCTGGAGAGAGGGGGCCTGCGAGTGCAGCGGCAGGTAGTGGTGGAATTTCGCTTTCCATATTAGACTGCTTATTCCTGAAATCAACAGCGTGTTTCCTCCTTGTGCTTGATGGAGAATCCAGTCAGCGATAGATGACCTCGTCGATTGAGCTTGTTCATCGCTCACCTGAATTTCTTGCGAGGCAATACAGTGCACATTACCCGATCATATTGGCAGTTGGCACATGGAGATCCAGAGGATACAAAACTGCACCTGACTTTTCTCAGTCGACAGTTCTGGCACGCCACGCTGGATCTTGGGTGCAAAGCCCGCATTCTTCTCCTCCGTGATACCGCCAACGGCAGAAGCGAATGTCACCGGTCAATATCTGAGCAAAGTATTTTTGCGACGGGGAATGTTGCGTGCGAAGCCTCCACGTAGCATATTAGTCTTCAGTACTCTTGGAGCCTATCTCAGTGGTAAGTGTATGAGCAGAAATCTGGAATGTGTATTGAGAAGCTCGGAGAGGCTGGATGCGGTGGCGCTCACAGCGAGATGAATTACGAAATCGGAAACATGCCGTATCGAAGAGTCTTAATGGAACGGACTTGTCAATCTTCAATGCCATAAACTCTACGGATGCCGTGGTTGTCACGTCAGGCAATTCATCATTGCGCTGAGCTTTGTCTTAGAAGACGGAGGAACTAAATGCTTAGTCGATTTTTTCGAAATTAGAAGTTTACTCTTTACTGTGATTTCGAATTTCCGCAAACCGACTATCCTACCGTAGTATACAGCCTCCGTTGATCGGTAAGGGGCCTCGGCTTCGCAAATGATATGGGCCAAAGCCATATGTACAATCCGAGCACGTCGGCCTTTAGCAAGGGAGTGTTGTGTCGTACTTTCGGGTTCGGCGACACCAATCCGCAATGAATGGTGCGGGAAGTAGACCGAAACTCTAGGAACCAATTTATCAGTCTCGTGCAAGGTACAGTTTAGAGCCTTTTGAGCCGAAACGGTACCTGAGCCGTAGGAGTTCTGTCTGATATGTTGTTGAGGTTCCGTCGGTAACATGCCGTGATGCCCACAAGACAAGCCTATATGGTCCAGCAAAAAAGGAGAACAGTACCTTCCACCCTCCAGGATCTGCTATTCTCGTCCTTTCTCTCGATTGTCCCCCAACTGTCATTCCAGGATACCGCAAATTCTTCCACTCGAAAAATGACTCTCACTAGCGTTGACCACGGCACTGGCTTGATGGCCAACTGGGCCAATATCGACGCCAGCTACCTCTTGAAATACCAGCAATGGCTCAACTGCGAGCACATGCCCGAGCGGGTCTCGATCCCGGGCTTTCTTCAAGGTCGACGCTACCGGTCGATCGACAACTCGCTCCATTTCCTGGCATTTTACGAAACCGAGACAACGAGCGTCTTGGGCTCCGAGGAATACCTGCGGAGACTGAACTCCCCGACGCCCTGGACGCTCGAAGCGCTCGGCGCCTTCCAGGGCAACCCGGTGCGAAACATCTACACCCGGATTGCCGACGGCGGGAAGCCAGGCTTGTTCACGGCGCCCTATGTCATCTCGGTGCGCTTCAATCTGCCCGAGGGCGGCGAGGCCGCCTACGTTGACGGTTGGGTCAAAGAAACGGCCAAGGACGACAGGGTGGACCGTGTCAGACTCTACAAACAGGATTCCACCATCGGCAACATCCAGACGTCTGAGCGGAAAATATACGGCGCTGGGCCGGGTGAGCAACTCTACTTCCTCCTCATCGAGTGTACGAAGCCACCAGGAAGCTTGAGCGAGCTGTTCCAGATATGGGATGCGCCGCTTGGTTCAAAAGCCCAGCGTGATCATGAAGTGACAGGGGCATATTGGCTAGAAATGGCACACGTAGCGTGGAATAAGTAGCATGAGCGACAGAGAACACTTTAGCACAGCAGGATCAACTCCGTAGAGTTCATGTTCATGCATCTGATTAGAACCTTTCATCTCACAAATCTTGTCACGGGGCAATCTGATTAGGATGGCGGAGAACGGCCTTTGCCCGAAATTACAGCTCATGGTGTCATTCACCCTGTCGTGGTCACGATGGAAGCTCACCGCAACCAAACGACCAAAAACCAAGCTCGGACGGGTCGCAAAGGCTAACGGAACCAAAATAGTTCGAAATCATTGCGTTGTGTCGAAGACTGCTATCAACGACAACGCTACAGGACCATTTTTTCAGGCTTGGGATTGCCCACAATTCTGAAGGCATAAAGGTCTTTCCCCTGTACATGATTCCTGTTTCCCAGCCCACTCCAGCCGGGCTAGAATCTCAATCAAAAGGCAAACAACCTGCCCCTATAATCCCCACACGACACTCCTGCCATCCGCTGCTTGCCCTGATCGCACCAAGAAACCTTGGATCGTCTTCAAGGCTTGTTTTGAGGCGCAGGGGCTTTCTCAATGTCGTCCTCCGTGGTGCGTGGTGCGGAATGGAGGACCTTCTCCATCGTGTCCTCTCCCACCACATCTTTCAGATCGTCATCCGGTTCGACATCCAAATGAGCCGCACGCTTTTCCGGACCGATCAACAGGAAGAACACGTCGAAGACGATGGCGCACGCGGTGAAGATACAAATCACTTTACCGTAGTCGTAGCGCGGAACTCCATTCGACGTGT